GTGTAAATTGCTGTTATAGGAAAGGAAATATCATTGATATTGCTTCATGGAGCAAGGCCAATAGGTTAGATTTAGAAAACATGTTTCAGGTCAAAATGAAAACTAACTTGCTAACAATAACAGCTGCATACCATCAGGTAATGATTAAATCATCAAGTAGTAAACAGCCTTTCCTGGAACTATTCACACTGAAAACAGGTGTCCATATGTACTCAGTGATGAGAGTGCTATGCATGATTACTAAGAATCATGCCATTTCTTAGCTCCATCGTGTACTATTTTGAAAAGTTATTTTATGTTGTGATCACTTACATAATTCCATCTGCAAGCACCTCCTTTCCCTTCAAGAGAATCTATGCAATACCCTTTCCTTTCAAGAAAGCTTTTTCAAAGTGAAAATCATCCCTCTAAATACACAGCCTGAAGATTTTTATTCTTCTTTCTGTGGATAGTGACGAAACATACTGTCTACAGACATCAATACCTTTAAAATCATGTTTCAAGTACAAGTATGAAATGTTTTCCTATTACCAACCAGCATTTCCTCCCCCCAGGAAGAAAACGCCTGAACCATTTCATTTCAGCATACAAGATAACTACACTACTATTTCCCAGTGTCCTGCACCATTTTATACAGTTACTTTCACTGTTTTCAGAATGTCCGTAATGGAAACAGCACCTGAAATCTAGCTTTACTCCAGATCTTAGGAGAAAGTTCCTTCTTCAGCTTTCAGGACAGTCACCAATTTCAACCATCTTAGGAATACAACAACAAAGAGACCTTCCCATGGCCTCTTCCAAAGCTTCAAAATACTTTTTTCAAAATGTTCAGTGTTGCTTCAGTTAGTGCCAAACTCGAAAGACGTGTACAATGTGGTTAGAACACAATATTCTACAAAGCAGAACAGTAACTACAGAACCTTATAACTAAGAAAGTCTTTATAAATAATCCAAACCCCCAGTTTTCAAAACTGAAGTTCACACAAGACAAGTAAGTTGTCATCATAAACTAAGTCAGTATACAGCTCAGGAATAAATTACAAACTACATTATCAGAAATCCATGTTGGGAGAGAATTTTTAATATATGATTCTTCACAAAAATGTTTTCTCTGTCATGCATCTTTTTCTATAAATTGCTGACAAAGCCAGAGATCTAAGGAGAGCACTGACATAGTAAGAGTATAAGTTAAGCTAATACATATCATCTGATTTTAAAGTAAGGTTATGCTCCTGTGAACCTAAGCCTAAAGGGACCTTTCCTTTTCCCCCCATTACTGCAGTATTATCACCTGCCAGATAACTGCAAAATGGTTATGCACCATATAACTTAAATGTTAGTGAGTATGTGAGCTTCAGAGTACAAAGGACTACACAAAATTTAGTGTCATTTGTCAGTACTCAACTCTTCTGTAAAATACAATAATGGTGATCACATCTCCCCTCTTAGAGTAGTTCATTCTCCTCCACACAAAACTGTAACTTATAGCCATGTCATTCAATAGTTTATAAAATAAGTTCTTCCTTCCCAAGGTGGCAACAACATTCCTATTTTGTTCAACACCATATTCTGCATTGATGGAAAAGGATATACATTCAATTAATATCTGTCCAAATAGTGAGTGGCTGAGACCAAACCTCTATTTCAACTTTATCCCCTTCCTCCTTTTCTAGCATTCATGTAGGTTATCTCCTTCTCTTATGACCTAAAGATAAGCAGTCACCAAAATATCACAGTTGCATCTCTTTTCTTATTTCAAAAAATCAAGAGACACTGACCTTCACACTGCTGTCTCCACATGGCTTCTTTGCTGAGCTCCAAGCCCATATTTCAACTGTATTCAGCAGCTCTTGTTGGAATTCAGCAATAGCATTACTATCTGCATGAGTTCAGGCAGATCAAACCATTTAGTCTGTCCAGGTCCAATTGCTCACAAGGAGTGCCACCCCATCTCTTTTACACATGAATCTTTTTTCCAATCTAGTCTTCACTATGACTTGTAGTCAAGTTTTCCACATATTTGCCAAATATTCCTCATACACATGTTATATTATCATATACAACTGGTTATTATCAAGCACGATTGTTCAAAGTCTATCTAATCTTCAATGCACAGTTCAAAATCCACTTCCAGGAGTCGTCTTTGTTCCCATTGAAGCCCTTTGTCTCTCTTTTATGGGTTTAGATCATACTGGCATTGCATGCACATTTCTTCTCCTTCCTACTTGATTCTGTCTTCTCAGAGACCAGAGACTAAGTCTAACCTATTCTGTGTTTTCTACATTTTCTTTGGACTATCGTAGACACTTAATAACTTTATGTCTAAAGGATCTAGCTGAGACTATGTCAATAGCCCTACTTAAAACTACTCTCTTATTAGGCAACATGCTTCCTGACCAAAGATTAAAAACCCTTCAAAAGACTATATATCTCTCATCTCAGTTCCCAATGTATACTTTCCCTCTTGCTTTCACTCCTCCCTCCTTACCCTCTTCTCTGTCCATCAACAAAACTGTTCCACCACCACTATTCTGATCCCTGTGGATCTCTAGGAAGCTTCAATACCTCCTCCTTAATGAAATGATAAGCTGGCTATATACACAAGCTTTGCTTAAACCCCAAGTTCTCTATTATATATTCTCATAACTCACACCCATACTTATGCATCATTATCTAAAATAGCATAGTTGTGTGATTACATGAGCACCAGCCTGTTCCCCATAAATAATAAACCTCAAGCAAGCAGAAAACATGCATCTTTTGTTCACCTTTAATAGCTTCTGCACAATGCCTAACTGTAACCAAATGCATTGACAGCAAGAAAGAAACAAGTTATAAACAACTGAATTGATGAAGATAGTTTTACAGTCACCGCACTAGAACTTTGCTACTTGAATCAACAGTATACTGAAATGTTCTGACTGCACCCTAAAACCCCAGATCAGAATTAACATTTTAAAACCACCCTAGTGAGCATTGTTGTGCACTAAGTTCTGAGAAGCACTGACCCTGGATGGTTTCTGCAGACCTTCACACCCCTGAGATTTTATAAACTTCACACCAAGACTTTCAAATGTGAAATACTCTGGGGGCTATGTACACCAAATCATTTTGTAAGTGGAAAAACTAAGCCTCTTAGAGGGGAAGTCAAGTGTCTAAGGGAACCAGCAAACAACCAGAACCAAGAGTAGAACCCAGGTTTGCTACTTGTGCTTTGCTCTAGCAGGGTTAACTCCTTTCCTTTCTGATTGTACTGAATCCCCTCAGTGATATCTGACATTCTAACAGTTTTTTTTCTAGCTTCCATATCATATATGAGTCTTAAAGTCACCACCATTTCAAATATCTCTTTACTAATATTTCTTCTTAATCTTTGACTATGGAATCCCCTACTCCCCATACCTATTGCCTAGCTATTATGTTGATTTTCTGTAGTTTTAGTACCAAAGGGTCCTTACTCTTTAGAAATACAAAAGAAAACCTCTTTTGCAGCAGTTCAGATGACAGCAGATAGATAGTTCTTCCAAGGACCAGAACTTACACTATCAGAGCTACTTGAGAAAGCTGTGGGATGTGAGTTTGAAGCTGACAAACATGAATAAAAAGTCTAGTCTCCAGAAGTCCACCCTGGTCCTTTATTTAGTAGTCTTCTCAGGCCCAAGACTTGAGGAGAAGATGTGATACCATCTTCAACTAGCTGAAGACAAATTATTAATTTCTTCCAGATACTTCCAAAGAACCAATGAACAGAAGACATAGGTAGTTTTTTAAAAATTTTTGACACAGGTGCTCAAAAATGCAAAGAAACACCTAATGAGCTCTATTATTGCAGGGAATGTAAATAGATAGCAGTCAACAAATGGGGTCCTGAGAACAAACTCAAATCAGAGTTCAATGGCTTTTAGGAAGTTTTCTAGTTGGAAAGTTCTACAATTAACAAATGTTTGGCCAAGCTCTCAGAAATAGCAGGATCCATTTCTAAAAGGTACAGCTGAAGCTAGATGCAGAATGACTGCAGCTGTGACCATGGGAAAGTAAAGTTTTTCTAGGCGTCCTTTCCAAAACAGAAAGTAGGTTGGCCAAAAGCAGCCTTCTAGGGTCTTTGAGGGAGCCTACGTCCCACACCACTCCCAGTTCTTACTGCTCTACACAAGGTCACTAGTTGCTCCCCAAAGTCAAGAGCTGTCCTTCCTGCTGCTCCTGCACTTGGCCAACAGAAAAGTACTGGGCATCCAGGGGCTGTGCTTTCATTTCCCACTGAAAGTGGCTGTGCTCTGTCGTTGAGCAAGCTACTTATGCTTGTTGTACCTCAGTTTCTTTATCAGTCAAACAGAGATAATGGCAATCAGCAGATTCACAGGTTTGACATAAAAAATCAATGAGATAATATACATTAAACCCTCAGCCCAGATCAGAGTCATTAAACACTTAAAATGTTAGTAATTGGTACAATTTGTTCAGCAATTATTATCGGGGAAATGACAGTGTCACCAACTACAGAGAGGAACCTCTATCAAGCAACCAGACCCTGTCCTTTACAAGTTCAGGAGAGATACAATTGTTTCAGATATCTTCAGACAAACCCAACCTGAGGAACCAACCCTCAATAATCCAAACCATTCACAATGGAAATCCTAGCTCTTCACACTCTCCTTTGTTGGCCAGCAGCCCCTCCCCCAGCCTCGGGGGGCGAGGCAGCCTACTGGGAAGAATCTCTTCAAACCATCAGGTGTTTCTGTCCTCCTCCCAAGGACATGTCTGGACCTAAGAGGATGCCCACCAGTGGGGGGGTATGCGAAATCTGAATTCATGGGTTAGACTGTCAGCACAGGTACTAGGGATTAAGGGTAATTGGCAATGGGGCTTTCCTCACTGAACCAAGAAAAGACTCCCAAGTTTGGAGAACAACTCAGGCCCAACGCCACAGTGAACCTCTAAAAGGAAGGGGGAAGGGCTCCACCTGCTTGAAAGGAAGCAGTTATTTACAACTTTCTACTCACTTGCACTTGGGTACTGCAATAGGGTGAGGGAAAGGGGCTGTTCAGTCTCCTCCTTCCTTCTGATTTCCAGCAGCCAAACACAGCTGCAGAGAAAGAGTTAAAGGAGGGAGCTCCAGCCATTACCCCATCCTTGGTGCCTAGGGCTGTCTGGGGGTCATGACAGTGCTGTCTGCTCTGGCTAGGGGGCCACTCTGTGGCCTTCTGCAGCAGCTGTCGGGCCCCCAAGCAATTTGCAAGGTCAATGCTGAGCCGCTTCGAAAGAGGAACACAACAATTCACTGACAATGAAGCAAATCGTGCATACACGACCACATCGCAACCCCCTTCCTCAAACCAGGTTTTACCCCAGCGCCTCCCAGCCCAAATGCCGCCTCTGGGATTCCACCAACCCCACTGGGGAACCCACGAAAGCATCACAGCTGCAGAGCATGTCTGGCCTCCCGACCAACCCAAGGAGACTCTCCTAACCGGGGAGAGATGCTATCTGGAAAGGAGACCTGAGCTTGGGGGAGGGGGAAGAAGGGAACATCTCTGTCTCTTACCGAGTGCCACAGTCACTTCCCCGAAGCAGAGGAGAAAAGGATGAATGAACTGAAACAAGTTGGAGGCTAAGCCCTGACAGAATGAGGCTTGTTCTCTTTCTCTAGGTCTCTGTCCTAGTCCCTATCTCAGTCTGTCTCTCTGCTTTGCTAGCGAGCTAGCGCGCGCTCACGGTCTTCCTCTCTTCCCTCCCTCCCTCCCTCCCTCTCTCTATGTGTCTCTCTGTGTCTCTCTGTGTGTGTCTGTCTCTCTCTCCCTCCCTCCCTCCCTTTCCTTCCCTTTGTCCCTCTCTCTCTCTCTCTCTCTCTCTCTCTCTCTCTCTCTCTCTCTCTCTCTCTCTCTCTCTCTCTATCTCCTCCTCCCTCCGTCCGTCCCTCCTTTTCCCTCTCCCTCTCTCCTTTCTCCCTCTTTCCTTCTCTCCCTCTCAGCTTCCCTCCCAACATTCCTCCCCTTCTCCCCACCCCCTTCGCTGGCTTTACCACTGCCTAGTGCTGAGCACAAGGCTAAGCTGGGGTTCTGAATACAGAGCTGCAAAGGCTTTAGATCTGTGGTTGTTTTACGAAAGACTAAAGTAGTATTTCATTCTTTGAGGTTTCCAGCAGAGAAATCAAGGGAAGCTGAGAGAGAAGGGGAGGAGCAGGGCAAGCAAAGAGGAGAGAAAGAGCAAAAGGCTTAAAGCAAATAGAAAATAAAGGAGGTATAGATTACCAAACGGATGTGAGATGCTTACTTCCCTGTTCAGGATCGAAGAGTGAGATTCCTCCTTTTCTCTCTTCTCTCCCTTCCATCCCTATGGGTGTGCCTTCTAACCCGGGCTCCAAATAAAGGTTTGACAATCTTCTCTGTTCAGACTCCATCTCTGAGGATAATAATTAGCTCCAAACAAATGTGCATCAAAAAAGTTGTCATTCACACTCCACTAAAAGGAAAGAGTTCAGCCATACTGATTCCCTAATAACCTAACTTCCACCCCACCCCAACTAAGTAGAAATGTGGACCCAATACAAAACTGTCAGCTAAAGCTTGCCTCAAGAGAAAACAGGGCTACAGAAGATCCATAGTGCTGAAGAGAATATACAAGCCCAAGAGGAGAAAATTGAGGATCCAAAATATAAAGCAAAAGGAGGAAGGAGCAACATAAACCAGCTGGAACAGAGTGGAAGGAGACAGAAAGATTAAACAAAGGAACTTAGGTTTGAGGGAAGCCTCAGAAAATGACTGATGCCTTGGGGGAATCATTTCTTCAATCTAGCCTTCAGAACCATCAATGACTAATTGAAAGGTGGTGAAGTATATTATCTTAAAAGCCCTTCTAGATCTAGCAGTCTAAGACCTAAAGACAGGAAACTCCCAGATGCAAGAGAAGTTGATCCTTAAACAATAAAAAACTACCAAATTTTAAAGGCTCTCCAAAAGTAAGTCTTTAGTGATTTACCATTCCACTGTTTTGTGTGTTTCAGAAGTAGCATGAATATGGACAAGCATATAAATAATTACTGCTATCAAAAAAATCAGTCTTTACTTATCAGGAAGATTAGCCTAAAACCATTCTTTTTATTTTATTTTTATGGTTATTTTGCCTGCATGTATGGCTGGCTGTGTTCCATCTGTTTGCCTGGTGCCCAGGGGGGCTAGAAAAGGGTGGCAGATCCCCTACAACTGGAGTTATAGAAGTTTGTGAGCTGCCATGTGTGTCCTGGGAATCAAACCTCAGTTCTCTGAAAGAACAACAAGTGCTGAGTCATCCCTCCAGCTCCCTTAAACCTTCTAAAAATCAAATCTTCATATGGTAATTTCTGGCTTATTCAGTAAGAGAAACTTAAAGGACATTACACTGGAAATTAATTAGTCCTCAATATAGAAACAGTAACTGAAACCTGAGTAGATACTTAAAGTTTTCATTGTGTTCCATTTCTATTTAAACTATAGTGCTATTAGCTTTTCATGAGTTCCTAATACTCTTTCCTATCCACCAAAGTGCACATGGTACAACTATACATTTCTGTCAAATTATATGTCTGCAGATTGATTATGTAGGGATAAGCTTAGAGTTATGGAACTGAAAGAACACATAAAAATAAGCATCATTTATACAAAAGCAAACATGACTGAAGGAAAAATAAATCACACACACGATTATGATTCATCAATGGTAGATTCAGGACCAACATCTAGACTGCTGACTCCAGGTTTGGCGTGTTTATAAACCAAAAGAACATATAAGCTTTGCATAAAGCAAGTATGTTTGTGGACAGATAACTATGCAATCACTTTACTGTTTTTTTATGTATAGATTTGTTTATACAAATGTTCACCTAACCCAGTGGATTAGAAACCCAATAAAAAGGCATATAACTTTCATCAGGATAGGGTATCACTTTTCTAGAGCTTCCATAACAAATGGCCATCCTTTCAAAAGTATAGATCAACAGCAACTTATTCTGCAATTATTCTAAAGACCAGAAGCCTAATTGAGATGTTAGTAGAACCACACTCCCTCCACAGGTTCTAGGGGAGAAACTCTACCTTGCATCTTCCAGCTTCTGTTGGATCTTGGCATTCCTTCTTTTTTTGGTGGGGGGAGGTTAGAGACAGGGTTTCTCTGTATTGCTTTGGAGGCTTTCCTGGAACTCACTCTGTAGACCAAGCTGGCCTCAAACTAATAGAGATCCCAGATCCACCTACCTCTGCCTCCCTAATGCTGGGATTAAAGGCATATACCACCAACGCCCAGCAGGATCCTGGCATTCCTTGTCACATAGAAACATCACTCCAATAATTGCCTATGCCTTCAATTCTTCTCTTGAATCCCTTTATGTGCAAATTTACAGTCACACTAAACCTACAACTTATCATCTAAGTATGGTTACAACCTGAGGTTATGAACAGATATGAATTTTAGTAGGACACTACTCAATCCACTGCAGTTGTTAACTTTTAATTTTAGTTTTTTTGTCCAAGATACTGAACAAACAAATAAATCAACAGGATAATATCTATCTATTTGTTTGGGTTTTTGTTTTTGTTTTTTAAGACAGGGTTTCTCTTTCAAGCCTGTCTTGGAACTCACTCTGTAGACCAAGCTGGCCTCAAACTGACAGAGATCAGCCTGCCTTTGCCTTCTAAGTGCTGGGATAAAAGGCATGTACTGCCTGCCTGACTTTGTAGGTATATTAATGCAAATTATTTAGCTGAAGATGCACTCAAAGCAAATACTCTCTATTAAGTCATATAATTCTATCATATACTCAATACACAAAACAATAGGCTTTATCCTCTGTAACATTTTCATCTATGTACACCATGTATCCATGTATGTTAATGTATTGACCCACTGTTACTCTCTGTTGTTATCTTATCACTGATTATATTCTTTGTCTCAGATAAACCTTCTGGTTTTATGTCCTATTTTTTAAATCCAGATAGTAATATATGATAAAAATCTGATGTTTGTCTTTTTTAGAATGGCAAACACTTAAAATGACAATCCCACTAAATAAAAGCACGTAAACTAATGGAGAATATGAGTCCTAGAAATCACACTATTTTATCTCTGTAAAAAATTAATGACATTTTCATAATTGTTTTCATTTCACTGAAATCAAGAAAAATTTTACTAGGACCACCTTGGGTATTTAAGAAGGTTCTTGAAGGCAAATCATGTTATAGGTCACAAAGCACATAAGCATCAAGCAAACATCAATAAATAAGAAGGGAACTGACACATGGAAGTTTTGCCTGATGGCAACCTCCAGGCCAAAACAATAAATAAAACTCTGGAGAACCTAGAATCACTATTGCATTGGTTAAATGGTTAGTAGCTGAATCTTGAGGGAAAAATATAAATAAAAATAGAGCCTAATTTGTAACATTTGCCAAATTCCATAATGTAATTGTACAACTCTGTGGATGAGGAGTTAAGAATACAAGCATATGATCCAGTGCTATCTAACTCCCCCACACAACTTTTCACAGTCCATGTGGCTTGAAAAGTCAGGAGACAGAAACAGGATGAATACCACAGTTTGTAACTAATGTGAGAAAAAAAGAAGTAGATATACACTGGCCAAATCTGGTAAAACTCATGAAATATGCATATGAGGACAGAGTTGAAAGGATGTAAATAAAGCTGAAAGGATTAAGCAGAGTTTTCAAAACTGTTTACCACAAGGGACAATTGAAAGTTTCACTTCAGCCATTTTACTGTCTACTGAAACAAACAAAAATCATAACTCTACAGAAAAATAAAGAAGAATAAAGGAATTCTACAGAATATGTCATTCACAATGGTGAAGATATGTTCCAAATTTATAAGAAAACAAAGAGATATGAAAATATTATCCATACTCATGGGAAAACATACTTTATAGAGCCTAGCTTTGATTTAAAAATGCTGAAATTAGCAGGAAGGGTTTTAAATAATCTCTCATTACTACATTAACAGAAATAAAAAAAAATGCACTTCTAATAAATTAACAAGCTGGAAATTGCAACAAGGTGAAGAATTTTTAAAAATGCAAATTCTATAACTAAATATGCAAATCTCTCAACTAAAGCTCACTGAACAGAAGATTTGAAATGGTAGAAGAAAGGGTTAACTGAAATATTAACACATATTATTCAATCTGAAGTATATAAAGAATATAGATTTAAAAAATAAAAATATGAACATAGGGGGAAAAGATGAAGTATCACTAATATGTGAGACAATAAAAAAATTATCACATATATGAAATTAAAGTGCCAGAAGACACACAAGAAATAAAAGCATTTGAGCTGGGTGTTGGTAGCTCATGCCTTTAATACCAGCACTCCGGAGGCAGAAGCTGTTGGATCTCTGTGAGTTCAAGGCCAGGCTGGTCTACAGATTGAGTTTCAGGACAACCTCGAAAGCAATACAGAGAAACCCTGTCGAAGAAGAAGAAGAAGAAGAAGAAGAAGAAGAAGAAGAAGAAGAAGAAGAAGAAGAAGAAGAAGAAGGAGAAGGAGAAGGAGAAGGAGAAGGAGAAGGAGAAGGAGAAGGAGAAGGAGAAGGAGAAGGAGAAGGAGAAGGAGAAGGAGAAGGAGAAGGAGAAGGAGAAGGAGAAGGAGAAGGAGAAGGAGAAGGAGAAGGAGAAGGAGAAGGAGAAGGAGAAGGAGAAGGAGAAGGAGAAGGAGAAGGAGAAGGAGAAGGAGAAGGAGAA